GGGGGGGACCTGATCTAGGTAATCCTGATTCTGCACGTTTGTACATTCTGGCTGTAATTCTGTTATGCATGTGCCTATAGCTACTTCAGAGCACTACTGCAGTGTACTGTGATGTTGTGGTATGCTATGATTAGACCGCGGGAGGTAACTAAATGTTCATTCTTCATATCTTGATTGTTAATCATGCTGTAACATTATTTTGACTGAGTCTGAAACATTTGTCATTGTAATGACTCGAGGCTGTCCTTTCTCCACAGCATTTCAGGGTTTCGCTCTTCAATGGCTATTTTACTTGTTCATTGCTTATTATGCTTTATGTTATTACTAAAAATTCATTTAACATGATTTTATGCTTATCCCCTCCCCCATCTCTTCTCTCACTCTTTTATTTAGCATTTTGTGATTCTTTTTGACAGCCACATATAATTTCTATTTAGGTGTACAATCAGATATTGCAGCAGTTGCAGATAGAGACTGGAAACAAACTCCAGGTGGGAGATACTTGCCTTTTAAGACGTCCTTATTTTTTTTACTGTTGATGTGTTTGTATTAATTCAAAAGCTAATAATTCTTGCTCTGCCTATCAAGCTCCTGCTATTAATTAAGCAATTTTTCTGTCAACTCCATTGCTGTATTTCTGTTTTGAAATTTCTGGGATTTTTCAAGCAAAGAGTGGAAGCCAATTAGATGAAAATGGGATCAACCATAAGAGGAAGAGGTATGAATTAGGAAATGGTGAAGGGGAGTGAGTCTTTATAATAACTATGGAATGGATTGAGTCCTAATGTTATGCATTAGTGATTATGGTAATAAGACCCTGAAAGGCATACACAGTGGTCTTTGAGCTTCTTAAACCAGAGTATTTACTGGTACCCTTTATAAGGATAATTTGTCTGTTCTTTCCTGCCCTTTTAGAATATTTAACTGGTGACCTTAACCTAGTTCTGATACACATGACTGTTCCCAAGGTTTTAACATGTCTTTTCGTAATGTGCAAACGTCTGCTTGAATAATGCATTACATATCCATTCTTTCACCATGATGATAGTCTACATAATATTTTCATTAAAAAAAGTAATATTTGATGCCTCATTGGATTTTGCCGTTGATCAGAAAATTTTCTTCTTCATGAAAGTTTTGATGTTTTGATTTTTGTAAACAGTTCCTTTCCTCTCACAGATTGATAAAGTGTATGCTAATGTGTCTTTTATGTCGATAAATTGTATGCTAATGTTTCTTTTTTTTTAATGAGGAAAAGCTAATGTATTTGTGTTATCTTCTCCGGCAGTGTATAAGATGCTTGTCATTTAATGCGTATGGGGTATCTAGGTTACTACAGAACTCTTGAATCAAAGATTTGTCTCTTAACTGTCGGAGTACAAGACTGCAAACCTATGCATTAACGTAGAAGACATGTTATTTTTCTGGCATATTGTGAATGGTTTTCCCCCTAGAAACCACCTTAAAAACAGGGTCATTATAGGGAAACCGCATTATATTTTTAATTTATATATAGACCACTTTTAAGTAGATTTTGTTGCAATCAACCACCTCCTAGTTAAAATTTCATTATAGTGAAGAATTTGACTGGGAGTGGGGTGATTGAAACAAACACCAATTTTAATGGTGATTTATGTATAAATTGAGAATGAAAGGTAATTTCCGTATAATTACCCTAATTTTAAGGTGATTTCTGAGGGGAAAAAAACCCTGTTATCATTTAAGACAGATTTTGAGAGTCTTTTATGTTAATAACCAATAAAAAATTTGTGTTCTGGTATCACCCAACATTTTTGTGGCCATGGTAATACCAGTTATGGGGGTTGAATTAATCCATTCTGGGTAGTATGGTCTAATATAGAATTTACCTTACTACTGTGCATCTTCCACTAACTAACACATCATTCCCATTTTGGGTCACCCCTCTGTTTCTTACCTGCAGTTGTTGAGGTGATAATATCATGCTCGCCGCAATATGTAATAGTTTGTAGGACTTCATGTTAGTAGATGTGGTCAGATTGAGTTTAGAAGCTCAGTTGGTTCTAGTTAGGGTCAACCTTCTTGCATCCAATTAGAATAAGGTTATGGTTCTGATAATGACCGCTTTTGTGAATTGATCTCATGCAACAGATGAGATTAGTACTCCTCATTGTGACTGGGAGAAAGGTTGATGTATAGTTAATTTTATCATTTTGGAAATTCCCCATTGCATATAACAAGCACAATAATGGAATATAGATTAAGGTCTTACCTGTCATCAGCTCCTAAAAAAAACTTTTTAACAGCTTTTAAGGTGTTTTATTTGCATGATGATCGATCAGGCGAGGAATGCTTCAATAATTTCTTTTTACCGTCCGGGCCAAGGAGGAACAGTCCTTCCGCCTGTCAATCTGAAGGAACCAGGGAAATAAAATACAACCGTGCCCAGGTTTCCTGAGGTTAGGGTGGTGAGAGCGTACGCTTGTTATGGCTACAGCGGGTCTTATCTGAAAGCAACTGAAGGGCGTTGCTGGTGAGATACTGGGATCCTTCCTATGGCTTCTGCAGGTCGGGAGGATAACGACAGTGAGATGAGATGCAACGCATTCAAAGGGAATCTTGGAAAATACTAGTCTATCGTGTTGTTTATTGTTATGCGGCATTGACTCTGTATTAATGCCATCCAGGTCTAGAATTGAGAGCTGAGAAGACTTTTGTTTAAATCCAAGTATCGTCGGTTCACCGCGTTCCTTAACCATAAAAAAGTTGCCTCGTCCGGAGCTTGGCCTTGAAAGCCTTAACGCCAACACAAGGGGGGGAAGGAAAGAAGAAAAAGAAAATTCCACGCAACGCATTCTTCTTATTAATCGGGACGACTGACAAAGAATCTTTTAAATGACAGCTTGCAAAAGTTGCAAAAGGCGAGGCTTTCCAGATGCGGGCTGGTATTTATTTTTATATGTAGAAATCTTAGGTCGAACAGGCTTTCCAAATACAACTAGTAGCGAAAATATCTTATAGATACTTCATTTAAGTTTTAGGCATCTTTGTTTGTTTTGAGACAGCTTATTACCTAGAAAGTAGCGGACGCATTCAATAACAGCAAGTCCGTGCTTTTCAATTTGGATTGGATGACGCCAGGTTGAGGTGAAAAGAATTTAGAGGTGTAACCAACTGCCGGCCCCGGGACGCAAATTATTAACTTCTCAGCGTGATTTTCGCGAAATTTGAGACGGGAAAGCGAAACCATTACTGTTTCCCTTACGTTGCGCCTCCGGCCTACTACATGACTTCAGTGCGCACGCTTCAGGCGCTGCAGCCAGCCGCCTTAGCGGCACCACATCCGAATGATATGAAAAATAAAATAAAATATTAACACTTCATTAAAGCCAAATCTTGATTCAACTTAATCTTTAACAAATATTATTAAAACAAATTAAAATAAAATAAAAGTTCGGAATTAATGCTAGCTACCTCTTAATTCCTGCCGCAGCCAAAAACAGCCAAAGCCTTGATGAGACCACAACTTGTTGGTTTCCGGTTCACATGAATTATCCTTTTATAAAACTCTGGGTACGATATGCCTCTATATGTCTACAAAACAAATTAGGTTTTTTTTTTTTTTTTTTTTTTGATCAACTTCCCAAAACATCACATAGAGGCTTAGCAGATTGTTGCGCGCGCGCCTTTTAGACTTCTCCTGTTTGGACGGATAGCGTTAGCTAAGCCAGGTGTTATCGTCATCTCTAGGGAATAATATATATTTATTGAAAAAAAATGTTTACGAGCTGATAGCTTATTTTACAAAATAAGCCGTCAAATCTATGCCATGTGAGGCCCCCTATTAGTCACATCAGTGTGTGGCTCACATGGTAATCCCACTTTGCAAAATAGGTTGTCAGGTCATACAAATTATTGTCTTTTAGACTTCACCTGTTTGGACAGATGGCGTAGCTAGGTGTTACCATTATCTCTAGGGGAATAATGTATATGAGCTGACAACCTCAAAAATCGCTAGCCATGCTGCAAACCTCCGGCACTATTCAAGCACTATCTTGTGCTTGGTACCAAGCATATTCCATATAATATATATATATATTATATATATATATATATATATATATATATATATAATATATATATATATATATATATTGAGCAGACAACCCAATTTTGCAAAATGTGAGAATGTGCAACTTCACTATCAAGCACGATGTTGGTGCATGCTACAAGCATATCCATATATTAAAAAAATGTGTATGAAATCCACAGTTCATTTTTACAAAATGCACATGTGCAACCTCATTATTCAAGCACCAATGTTTATGCTTGGTACAAACATCTCCATTTTTCTCGTACACACACACACACCACACACAACACACACACACACACACCATACTATATAATATTATATATATATATATATATATATATATATATATATATATATATATATATATATATAGTATATATATATATATGGTTTGACATATATACCAAACACAATAAAATTTAATTTGGACAGTGTATTATATTACTCTCTAGATTCAACCGTCCGCTTTATTTGATGCATCGCCTTGCTTCAAGTTTTTTACCTTTGGGTTTGCGACTAGGAAAGCCCCTTCGCCTAAAAAGCCCTATCAAAAGTGTCATTTTGACAGGCTTTCTGCCCAAGATCCAATGCAAAAAACTTGAACCAAACGGACCCTGAGTGGAGAAAACTCTCAGTTGTTTTGCACTGATCGAATGCTAGCTAGATCAAACTAATTGGTGACTCTTGTGTGATCTCATTGAAGTGTTCACTTCTTGTCCGCATATCAATGGAGGCTTTATTTTTATATAGTTAATGTGGATCATTAATTAGTTATATTATTAATTAAGCAGTGGACTATGAATCTGGGAGAATCACCCAATTCCCTACCCTTTCGACCTGCTCAGGATTCCAGAAAGTACCTCTAGAAAAGTCAGCATCGCATGATTCGCATCACAACTTTGGCCTTTCATAGCTGTGGCGAGATTCCTAAAAGTCAATGCTCCCACCCCCACTTGCCTTTCAGTACATCAACTTAGTTGCATTTTGACAAAAAAAAAAAAAAAAAAATTTTTTTTC